TCTAAATCTAAATTTTATTCAATTATTGAAAGAGATTCAACGAACACCATTATACAATTACAGTTGAATTTTTAATTCGTCATATGGACGAACATAAAGTCACTTTATTTAAATAATTAATTTTCTCGTGTATTAAATACAATAACGTGGACAGTTATTCGTATTTTGTTAAAAATGACAGAAATTAAAATGTTTTGTGAAAAATAATAAAACTTCTCAACGATTAAACGATTAAATAAAACCTAACCTAAACTATTTACTCAATTTGTAAAATTGGAAATAATTACAGGATATATAAATAAACCATTAAACAAATAAAAAAAATAAATAAATAAATCGTGGATAATTGTCTTTGATTCCCAAATCGGAAAATTTAACTCATGCAAATCAAAAGGGGATTTACTGGTCATGGAGTTTCAGCAAATATTTAATTTCTCCATGCGAAACATGCTTGAACCGCTAAACCGAAAATTAATTTTGCTTTTCCCTCTTTCGTTGTGTCAACATCTTAACGTTTAATCGTTTTTAGACGCAATAAAGTTAATATGTTTTCTTGCACATTTTTATTTTTATTAGGATAGCTCTTCGAACAGGATAATTGATCCTTAATGTAATGGATCGAATTATTTCCTTCTTGATGTTTCTTTGACTGTCAGAGAAATACGTGTTTCAATTTAATTTTTAATTTATCATTCGTTAGGATAATTGTATTTCGTTCTAAATGTTTTTAATTCGAGATTATTGTGATAAATATATATCACGTATAAAACCTAACCTAAACGTGTTAACATAAGTTTCTCTTAAATTATTTTATTATCTCGCTACAAAATAATTTTACTTTTTTAACACGCAACGATTTCATCTTAATTTTAAAAATCAGTTTCAATGCAAAAAAACGGTGCGGATATAATTAAACGATAATTCTATTTTAAAACTCGTTCGACGTCTCGAACAACTTTCTAAACTCGACAAGAATACATTGAGAGAATAGATCGCGTTAAATTAGGAAACTTTCGTTCAATGGAACAAATATAAGATGTAGATAGATAACGCTTATCGTTTCGTCCGTATGGACTCAAGATATTCCGATGTCCGACAATATGTGTACTTGTACTACTTCCGCCTACGAATCTCAACAATGCACGATATTTCCATAGATGATAAAGGGATGGCCGACAAAATATTTTGGATTTTTTATACGGATAAAAGCGGAGAGATCGAAAATTACAATAATATTTTGTCAAAAGTAAATAATACGTATAAAAATTGTATTATTCGATGATTTTATTTTTATTATAAATATGAAAAGTTCATCCAAATAATCGCCTGACGTAAACACGACAATATTACGCCATTATATTTAACGGAATATCGAAAAATAACATAAATAATTTTTAATAAAGCTGTCAAGATCAATTCTATCGTTATTTATTTCGTTTATTTATTTAATTTTTTTTTTTTTACCTCTTCATATTTTATCTTCCTATTTATCCTTTATACGTTCCATGCACATACAATATTACAAAATTATACGATCTATATTTAATAACGACGAAATTATACTGTAACCTTTTGAATTTCGCGCCATTCGTTTACCACAAATCGATTAATTTCTGGTTCGATTTATTCATGCAAATAGTTACCATTTTTATACCTTTATACCGTGAATATCAATCAGGACTATCGTAGATGGCTGTATTAATCTGATTCGATAGTTCAATCAATAACTGTGCGACTTCGTTGAAAAAGTCGATTCGACACTTCGAACGTGATATGAAGTGATTCCAGAAATGAAATTTGCTTGACGAGGAAAATTGAGGTTAGAAAAAAGGAAGGGCTTGAAAATCAAGCAGAAGAATCGAGTCAAAGGATCACGCGTGTAGTCAAGGTTTTAATTTAATCTTGTAAATTGCACATGCAAATTTTCGTTAAATTTATTCATAGTGTTATACAAATATCTTGTATTATCATTTGCATTATGCTCATTTCGTGTCAAATTAAACGTAATGATATTTCAGAAAATTTCTTTACCTTGTGTTCACACAAAACGAGAAATATATAATTCTCGAATCACAATTTTTTATTCGAATCGAGAACAGAATTACAATTACAAGAACAGTTGAATCCAAAGATATTAAGAATGCATTAATTTCGCGTAATGAAACATGAAAATTCTGAAAAGAGAGAGAAAAACTATGAAAAAAAGTTTTGAATACTTTCTGATGAATCTTCTTTGGTGAATCTCCTCTCTTCACTTTCGTATAATAAAATCTTCGGTTAAAAAGTAAATTGAAAGGATATGAAAGAAGGGGTAAAGTTTAATACTTTGTAATTTTTAATATCCGGCATTGTTATATTTGAAATTTTAATCGAAGAACTGCTGCAACCTCCTCCATATTTTTCAACGATTATTACAATCGAGAGAGATTATTCTTTTATTGATTGCAAGAGACTTTAGATGGAATCTTTAATTGGACGATTTTTTTTTTTTTTTTTTGGATATTGAAAAAGCTCCTTCGTATCGATTCTCCAAAGTGAATAATCAAAATTTTAGGTTAGATTCGCGATATCTTGAAAAAATTAAGAGGAAAAAAAATAAATCGATTCACTAAACTAAAGTTACCGGATTGATAATAGAAAGAATAGAATTTTTTAAGGCTTGACGCGTTATCAGTGAATCGATACGCAAATTAATCCTTCAATCCTTATATCCCTTCGTTATCGATAAATTTCCGCTGGTCCTAAACTTGACAGAGCTCACGACAATTATTACATTGATTGCGGTTTATTGAACACATGGGTATGGTATTTTTAGACTCGAGATTATACATGTGCACGAATTATTAAACCTATTATAATTAATCACGTTTTGCCCATTATTTTTTTTCTACAGAAGCACGATACGGAAATCGGATATTTTCTAATTGCAAGTAAATTAAATTGGGAAATAATTTCGAAAGATTACATAGATCGGTGTTAATCGCGATAAAAATAAATGTCTATCTGTTATTTATTTTCAATTACTCGCATAATTCATTACTTAAAATTAAAAAAGAAAATTAAAAGAAACTTAAGAATTAAAACTTACTTTCTTTGCTTAGTTTTTCTTTTTTAGGTTATCTTTTTTTCTTCTTTCCGACGTTATATTCGTCCACCAACTAAATTAATTTGATCGAAATGTAAATTAATAATTTTAAAACTATCGGATAATCCTTGACGAATCAAGAGAGCCGATAATCTCTCGTCTAAGTTAAATTTTCATAATTCGCCAAGATATCCTGGGGGCAATTGCAAGTTTTTACCTTAGCACCCACGTTACCTTCCTCACCGACTATCTCACGATGTGCGAAATATCTCACGATGTGAAACTAATTTGCATACAAAGTGAATTTTGCATCATTTTTTCATTTTTTTTTTTTCAAATTCGTAATTTGATTGTATATACGTTTTCGTAGTTTCGCCAATAAATCTATCTAATCAACGTACGAAATATTCAAGGAAGAATTGAATCAAATTTTTGAAGATTATCTTTCGATTATTATTCTTGATTTGACTTAGAATTGTTAGGTTTTAAAGATGAATAAAGCTGTTTCGAAACGTGGAATAACGTTTATCGAGTTACTTTCGATCGAATATAACCTAAAATTTTACGTTCTAATAATGTTGAAAATGCTACTCTTATTAAAATTCAAATTATTATTTATTAATTTATATTAATACAATTAAATTCTAAATTTAATGCGCTTATATGCTAAAATAATATTTTTAATTTATTAATTTTTATTTTATTGTAAATAGAAACCAATCTTATTTTAAACCATGTAAAATCTTAAAAGTCGAGCAGACTTAAAAATTTAAACGTTATTTAATTGAACGTGGATTCTTAGATTTTAAAGATAAATAAAGCCGTTTCGAAGCGTGGAATAACATATATCGAGTTACTTTCGATCTTGAATATAACCTAAAATTTTACGTTCTAAAAATGCTACTCTGATTAAAATTCAAATTATTATTTATTAATTTATATTAATACAATTAATTTTAAATTTAATGCGCTTACATGCTAAAATAATATTTTTAACTTATTAATTTTTATTTTATTATAGATAGAAACCAATCTGACTTATTTTAAATCAAATCATGTAACATTTCAAAAATCGTCGAACAGATTTAAAAATTTAAACGTTATTTAATTGAACATGGATTTATGGTGAATACCAATCCATCCACTTGTTCGTTCGATTATTATTTTCTTTCGTTCGTTATTAATGAATCGAGAACAGAAAGGATGATGAACGATTCGAAAAAGAAAGAAAAAAGGCGGATGGAAAGGAAATTGATCCATCAAGTAAAGCAAAGTTTAGAGGTTCGACGGTGTTAATGAAGTGGCCGGCCAGATACTTTTCGCGAGCTTTGAAATATTACGAGCTCGAACGAGCAACGATCGACGATCGATGAATCGTTTTGCCATCGTTACTGTCTATTTTTTTCCACCAGGATTTTATTATTTCCCTTTCACGTAACAGACACATTCGACAAGTTCGTTACGATTGTTCGCAGTTATTGTTCGTTCGTGAAAATTTTTTTTTACACTATTCGATACATTTAAGGTATGATCGTTCGATGTATCGCGTGGAAAGTGTACAATAGATTGCAATTTATTGAAACGAATTGCATCTATATTAACGTGTAATAAATGTATTGTTCAAAAGAAAAAAAAATTGAAACTAGCGATATAGAACTCTGTGTAAATGAATTAGTCCGTTCAAAAAAAGAAATAGAAAAAAAAAAGGAAGCGAATAATTAGATAAAAGAAACTTCGTAACACGATGTAGTTAAAGCAGCTACTCGATATTTAAAAAGGGGACGATGAACAATGGAAAAAGTTTCGAAATTCATTATAAAAATTTTCCGGTTGACACATTCAATTGATAGAATTATTTAAGTTAAAATGAAAATTGCGTCGTGGCAAGGAGGAATAAAAAAAAAAAAAGAAAAGCAGAAAGTTTCGAACAACGTAATATACGTGGAGAGTGAATAAATTGATCATAACGCGAGTAAAAACTAATTTTGGAAAAGGGAACGTCGTGTCTTTCCTTCTACGATGCTCTTACGTATCCCATTGATCCACTTTCTCGATCGTCTAATATCTATTATTCGTTAACTTAATGTAAATAAAAACATCCGGTGTATAAAACAAGGAAGTCCATTTTAACGATCTCGACGAACTTCATTTAAAGTTTCGTAATTTTCTACGTAGATGCGCGAGAAGATTGATTCGTCTTGCTTCTTGTATTTGTATTTAGATTTGTTATAAAAAAGGTGCGATGTCTGAAAAAAAGAATCACTGTAACTATTGATAGACCAGATTCTTCTAGATTCTTAGATAAGAATGTATTCTCTATCCTCTTCTTGTTCACACTTGAAGGGAACGTCGATAAAGTTTTGACAAAGAGACAAAGAACTGGGGCATCTTGTGTATAGAAATATTTAATTCCTTTTCACGATCCTCTATTATCCCTTTTTACAGATGAAAAAAGTTTTTTGCTCGTTATACGATCGTTTAGCAAAATTACAGAATTGTACTCCCCACAAAAGACGATGGAAAAACCTACCTTTGTAAAATTCCTCATTGTTAATCGATAAACGACCGGCCAGCCACCATTTTCCCTTATTTTCCAGCAACCATCCCGTATCCTTCTGTTTCTGATCTATTCCGACCTGCGAATAATTTCACGCCTATTGCCTCGTGCAATATTTTCCTGTTCCTCGCTCTTTCTTCTTTCTACTTCTTCCCACTGTCGCCACCCGTCACCGTAATTAAAGCGTTCAGAGACGAGTTTAAGCACCAAGTCTGAACGAACAATCTTCTTTAACCTTCTTGCCCAGGTCTCATTTCACTATTTGATCCATTGGTATATCTCATCAATATGGTGGATATACAAACTTCAAATTTGTTAATCTTCTGCAAAAACAGGTTACACGTAGATTGTAATATCAAAAGAATAATCGAAATTGTAAATGAATATATATATTGTATTGTTCAGAAAGTACTTTCTTTTTTTTTTTATGATAATGAAACATCAAATTGTTTCACGTGATTGTAAACAATCAAATTCGATAAATTCAATCAAATTCAATCTCGTAGTAATTTTTCGAGTTGTTATTCGTCGGTTTGCTTCGATCAGTGCCTTTAGTTCGTCTTCATCAGCTTCAACTAGTCTTCCAGAACGCATCTTTAATGTTAAAATTGTCGAAACGAAATTTTGAAAACCAATTTTGACACTGGTGTATTGTTAATATACTTTCTCCATAAACTGCGTAACTTTTTTCTTGTGTGAACAGTATTCTTATCTTTTCGATAGCAAAAAAAAGTAAAATATCCCGAAAATACTCCTTTTGGTCTTGTTCATCTTGTTATCACGCACGAAAAACACAATCATAGAATCAAACGAATTTTTTCGTATAAATAAACTATGAAATATCAACTCTCAAAATATATAATAACAACACGGTTTAGAATGAAGTTGGCTAGATAAACGTTCAATTAGCGACACTCGCGTCAAAAAACGAAATTACTTTCCGAACACCAATGTATTTTCACGTGACTTTCTTCGAGATCAATCGCGGCGAGGTGTCAAATGCTAAATTTACTAAATCCATCCTCGTTTGCTTGAATGTAGTTAGCTGTCGTCTAAAACGGAATATCGACATGATCAATAGAGAGTTACGATCCGTAAACAGGACAATGAAAACGATAGTGGCGCGGTGACTAGTGAACAATAACAACTTATCACCAACTTTGAAACATTGTCATTTTCATCCAACTTTCCAAACATATGTGATTCTATTAATAATATCTGTTGCGTGAAAATTGTAACAACTTTTTGTGACTAATTTTTCTTTTATTTATTCTTATTATTCTTATTATTCTTTTATTTCTTTCTTGAGCCAACGTTATGGAGGTTATCTTCCAAGCTCGACTATTAATTTAACACTTTTTCACGAATGTTCGCCAATTACAAAGTGCACAGGAATGAAAAAAAAAAGAAAAAAATAAATAAGCGACAATGACAGAAAAAAGGAACAGAGATTGAGGAAGGACGAGTTTGCGGAGGCGACCAACCGACGTAATTGGAAAGCGGGACAAGCGACCCCAAATTACCAGGCGCAAATTAAGCCCCAGGTGTTAATGAACTCGCCAATGGCGACGTTGTTGACAACGAAATTGCAACGATTCTCGATGTCTATATCGGCACATCGACCCAGATTCATTCACTTCCGAACTTGACCTTCTCATTTGTTGCTCTCATACGAGCCTCCTTGCTATAAATAAAACGTTCGAACGTTAGAATGGCTCAAAAACTAAAAATAGTCTTTATATTGTACGTTCCAATAGTTCCCTTGACTTTTAATACTTTGATGGCGCATAATAATGATTCAAATAACGTACATTAATCGGACAAAATTAATTTTCAAATCTATAAAAAAATAATTGTTTCGATATGTAATAACTATATATTAAAATTTTAAATTCTTTTTTTACAGATTAAATGAAATATATAAGCAGACAACTAATCGATAACTGATCGATCACAATCGATTTCAATAGTTGAAAAATATTCTCTAAATTTTTTAAGAAGCATTTGAATTTCAATTTTATAACGGATATAACGAATCTTTAAATATTTATTTTTAATTTAAATCGTTACAAATCATCGATAAGTTTTTTTTTATAAATTAAACTTAAAATTAAATAATTACTTCATATTATAAATTCGCGTCATTTTTTATATGTTCCATATTGTTTCACGTAAGAATATTCCTTGAATGTAAGTTGGTCTCAATGGTAAGGTACGTTTCTTGAAAAATGTGAGAAGACAAAAATTCTATCTGGAAAGAAAGCAATTGAAAACACAATCTGAACTCGATGGAAAACATTTTATAATATTTTATAGGTTAAAGCGAATTGAAAATCGAGGAAACTATATTAAAATTATTGATTTATCTTTCCAAAGAAGTGAAGAATATAAGAATTCATTATACAATAAGGCTTATACAAATATTTCCTTTCATCTTTCCATATAATCTCAAACATGCGTCACGTCAAAGCATAGCTACGTCATTTACACCATAAACATTGTGTCATCCTATCTCCCCCCCCCCCTCTTATTCCAAAAATCCTCAAATATGATGTCACCAAATCCTACAAACGGTGACCAATTTTTAAAGATTAACTTTGTTACTTTTTTTTTTCTTTTGAAACTATAATATATTGAATTTAATAATAAAAAAATAAAAGATAACACAAGAACGAATTATGCGATTTTCCACTATCATATTATGACTTGCGTCATAAATATCGAAATGCATGATCAAACTGATAACTAATACAATGTGATCTACACATATTAATGTAATTTAACGAAATAATTTCATTATGAGAAAATATGCTTGGATCGTTCTTTGAATTTACGAAATACATATTTCACGAAATATTACACGCACTCTATCGCTATTTTTTCCAACGATTTTCCCTTTCGCTCCATGCTGGCCATGACTTTCACTCACACTTATTGGATGAAGTTAACGTCAATCTTTTACACGTTGAATTCTTTGAATCGATTTACGTATTAAAATTTTGGAAAGAGATTTTTTTTCTACCAGTGATGGGCAAAATTTAATAATTGAAGTTACTTCTAGAAATAACTTTATTCAATAATTTATTCAAAATATAATAATATTCGGAAATAATTGTAATGCCAAAAAGGTTATATGAAAATCGGATCGACTATAATAGCTACGAATAAATATTATTTTTTGTTTCATTATTCAATGGATTAATGCTCAACTCTGTCTTCTCTCAATTGTTTAATTATTTTTTTTGCCTCGATTTCATGAGGATAAATTGAGGTTATGGAAGTTACTTTCAACCACGCCTGTTTGTTCTATAATATCCGATCGAAGGGTCTTCGTTCTTTTGACATCCTCTTTTGATGGAGGTGCCATTAACCTTTATCAGATATCCCATACCAATTTTTCTCTCTCTCCATGAGTTTATTATCCACCATGAAGCATCCCATTTCTGGGATAACCTCCAATAAGCGATAAATAGTCGCACGCTCAATCTAGCGTTATGTATACGTACATACAGCCAATAATAATGAATTTTACTACGTTTTATACAAATTGTTGCAAGTATAATTAATTCAAAGAAAATATAATTCATGAATTAACCTTGTTATTTCTACTTTTGCAGATTAAAAACAATTTTTTTTCTTTAATATCTTGTCACTCAGATAACACAAATATAATTAATATAAAAATGTGTACACAATGTTCGTTACAAAATTTTTTTTCACCGAAAAATCCAATAACGGGATTAATAAAATGTCGCTTTCGCTTTGTTTCAGATACACTCGTTCCCAGTTTCCCAACACAATGATGTTGATGAGCGTGCTAGTGTCTCTATTGTTCGTCGCTATGGCTAAATGTCATCCCATATCCTACAACACGTACGACGAAAGGGAATTGTCACGGGATCATCCACCACTCTTACTTCTCGTTGATCATCGAATTCCGGATTTGGAGGTATGAGAGACGTCTCTTCCCTCCTCCCGTTCCCTCAAGTTCCATCAAGTTATTATAACGACACGAATTAAAAAATGAAACATCTGCCGTGTCATCGCCCATATTTTCTTATTGATCGTCGCGTTCAACGCCGATTTTCACTTGTTTTCCATTCTCTTCAGCATTTCTCGTTCATACCAGTCTCCTGCGCGTATAAATAAAACTAGAATTCAAATTCTAAAGGTCAATTGAATATAAGTAAAACGGTAGGATGTCAAGTATGGTTGACATACTTTCCCTAAAAAGTGGGTTTAAATATTGAATATGTCGGATTTGATTCTATCGATTTCATTTTTCGTATTATACGTGTGATAAAACGAACAATAAACTTTTTATATATAAATAAAATTTTAACGACACTCTTAAATCATCGTGAAATAAATCGAAGTATTAAAAAACGTCAAATTAATTTTAATCCTCGCGTGTACATAAAAATTTACTATTGAAATGAAAGTAAAGCAATTCTTTTTTTTTATTTTGAAAATTTTCTTTCGAGTTAATTAATCGCCTATTTCGACTCGATTCCTCAAAACGTAGAATATACCAAATTTCAATCGGTAACACGCGACCTTTAGTCAAGAGTTCTCGAGCGAGCATGCATCCTTGTTTCGTACACACACAGTCACACACACATTTGGCTATTAACAATCATTCGAACTTTAAACTCGACTAAAATATATCCCTTCACGGATTGAATTCACACCGTGAATCGTAAACGGATATCTACTCCCTCACCTGTAGCAGAACAGAGAAAATTAAATGTTATAATGCGTCAGACCCGGATTTCATTTTATAAATAAATTATTGGAATTATTATTCTGAAACACGAGAAATTATCCGCGGTGTAAAACGTGTATAATAATAAAGCATAATACAGCAAATGGTTAAATTATCGTTAAGCTGTAATTGAAAATATAATTGGAGAAACATCCGTCTATAATTTCTTGCGTATCAATTGAATACGCATAAATTAATATATAATGTATATTCAAAGACAGAAATAATTCAAGGGAGTTGAATGGGACATATGAATGCCGCGTTTGCATTTCTCGAGATATTTTTCTTTCTATTCTTCCCATTCGGTACGTTTAATTAAAACGATTTCATTGTCAGGGACAGCGATCGTTGCCGGGAACAAGTCACGGGAATACAATCTCGCGAAATGCTCTTAATTAACGTCCATATTGTGGAAGTGATAGAATTTATGTCAAGAATGTTTGGAATGAAGCGATATATGCGCGAAATGAAAAGTAATAGTTGCTGAGAGAGAGAGAGAGAGAGAGAGAGAGAGAGAGAGAGAGGAGGAGGAGGAGGAGGATACTT